AATTGTTATTCAATGCTAACACAAAATTATATATATAAATTTTTAAAGAAGACCTTTATAGAACTTCCTAGTCAATTTACAAAGTTGTCAGTGACAATAAATGATTCTTCAGTAGACTTTAATCCGAAAAACATTCCTGGGCGTATTATCCTAGTTCTTGATAGTTTAAAGGTACTTATGTTAACCATACGTATGCCCTCTTTGAAACGTCATTGATGATGTAATATTTCCATTGACAATTTATTTACAGGCATCGAGTAATATAATATCCGAATCACCAATGTTTGATACAAAATTAATTGGTCAAAATTTGGATTTAATGCTTGTCGGTGATAAAAAATCAATTGATGAGCGCGCGATAAATCGACTCGTCTCATCAACTATTGACGTTAAAAAGTACTGGCAGGTAATTTTATATTTACATTTATATTATATTTATTAATTATCATATATTCTACTAATTCTACTAATCGTATAATTGTTTTTTTTTTAAAAAAAAAAAAAAATAAAGACTATGGGATTTGTTAAAGCCGCTTCTCTCGACTTTGTAGAAGTCCAACTTCACAGTACTAAAGCAGATATTTATCCGAAATTTGAGGTATTTAATATTGTAAAGTTAGATATTATTTCCCAACGAGTTTATTAATACCTATTATTTTGTAGCTTGATATTACTAATGAAAATCTTACGATCGAAATATGTGCGGACACATTCCAAACATTATTGAATATGGTTAATCATTTAAACCCAAAAGCAGAAGATCCGGAAAAGGGGTATGCAAATTCTTTTTTAAAATTATAATAAATCTTTATGATTAATATTTTTTTATTTAGACGAAAAGCTCCTCATATAACAACTGATCCTGTTGTCCAAAATATGCTAGGTTCGTCTTATTTTTTATGTTTCAAAAAATTTATTTAATAATTCAATATTAACTAAATTTTTATGTTGAAACTTGATATAGCGAACTTGGATGAGTATGCCTTTGATTCAAAATCAAAATCTCGTGCCAAACCCGCAATAATCGACGACAATAAGATATCAAAAATCTCCCGGAATTCAGCTTCCACTTTAGAGTTTATCGAGGAATATTATGCGATAGAAGGAAATGAATCAGATGAGTTGGATACTCACACTTTTGAACATCCCGTGGGATATGATGACAATGAAGGTATGAATTTATGATAATGCATTATTATTATATTCGAATTTTTTAATAATCATCATAATAATAATAATCGTGTCGATGATGATACAAAGGTGTTTTGGTTGAACAGCCACTATTTGCTGCTTCCGCGACAAATAAAAGTAATGAGGATTTAACCGAATTAGAAAATTCGGAAGAAGAAGATAATCGTAGGGATGATAAAGTTAAAAGGCTGGATTCTCCTACTATAGAATTTGTGGATGATCATTTTTCTATACCTAATGCAAACGAACCCGAGAATTCCTATATTCAGGAGTAAGTTTGTTTTGCGAAATAATTACCCTTCAATCATTTTTTATTTATAAAAACTTATATATCTTAGGTTACCAAAAAGTTTGACCCGGATTAGACTGAGAGATTTTAATCTCGTATGCAAGTTACATGAAGGTTATGATTGGGAACGTAGTAGAAAGGAAGCGCTGGATTCTTTGGCACGCGCAAATTCTCAAGCCAAGAATGTAAATGTTGTGGAGACAGGAACAACGTCTGGTTCTTCGATTGGAGAAACAAGTAGTTATCCTTCATTAGAAGAGAATAATATATATAGTCATATTTACAACGCTCAGTATAGAAATTCAGATTATGACGTAACATCTGAAGTCGATTACATGGACGATTATAGTGATACTGCTAGTCAAGTTAGCTCACGATTGGATCCTGACAATACGAATATTCGAGAGGGTAAACGGTCCGAGCATTCAAATCGTCGATCTCGGCCAAAGTTAAGTCGCTCAAGCTCTAGCAAAATTGACATAAAACTTGAAAAAGTGAATTTGGAATTCGATATTTTTCCCGATGACAATTTATTAGCTTTTAGGCTGTTGCTTCTTGTCCGAGATATAGAAATTCTAGACAACATAAAGACATCTGCGTGGAATAAGTTTTTATCGCATATGCGCCCGGATAATAATACTAGTCCACGTGAGAGTAAATCAAACATGATTAGGTTAGAATTAAATAGCGTTCGTCCTACTCCAACTGATGCTTCTGAAGAGTTACGAATAAAGGTAAGGTTTAATTTAAATAATTCCTTTTATATATAACTGATTTGTCATGACTTTTATTGTTAATGATTTTTCGTAGGCACGATTTTTACCGCTAAGGTTTTATATTGATCAAGATGCCCTTCAATTCTTGATTCGATTCCTTTCTTTTCAAGATTCTACCATTGAAAAACCTCCGCAGGTGGAAGACGATACTTATTTCCGTAAGTTTAAGTTTTAATAGCTTGGTATCATATTCCCTTGGTTAATTCATAACAACTATCATTTGTCATTTACATTTAATAGAATCTTTTGAGATACATCCAATTAAAATGAAGGTCGATTATAAACCAAAGCACATTGATTATACTAATTTGAAGGAAGGTAATTTAGTTGAATTGATGAACTTTTTCCATTTTGAGGCTGCGGAAATGACCTTAAGTAATGTCAAGTTGACAGGGGTGAGTTCAAATAATCAAATCATTCGAATTTTTTTTGATCACGATGAATAATTTATCTTTAATGATCAAGGTTAAAGGATGTCAACGTCTATTTGAGGAATTGGGTGCAGCATGGTTACCACATATAAAGAGCACTCAAGTGCCCAACGTAGTATCTGGTGTGGCTCCAATACGTTCGTTAGTTAATTTAGGTTCGGGTGTTGCTGATCTTATTCTCTTACCAATTGAACAATATAAGAAAGATGGTAGGATTATTAGAGGTTTACAAAAGGGGACAGAGTCTTTTGCACGAGCTACAACTATGGAAGCAATCAGATTTGGTACCAAACTTGCGGTTGGAACGCAGATTTTGCTTGAACAAGCCGATGAAATTCTTTCTTTCGAATCTCAAACTGGCACCAACACAAGGAGTAGTACTAATCCTACAATAAGTACCATAGATGAGGAGTTTGATAGCGAAGAAGACAATATTAAGGAATTAATAAGCAAATACGCTGATCAGCCAGCAGATTTGAATGAAGGTAATTTTATTGATATTTTATAGTTTATCAAAACTTTTCTGATAATTTTTATTTAGGCATTGAAGCAGCTTATAAGAGTTTACGAGCAAATATCGGTACTGCAGCTCATACAATATTTGCTGTACCTATGGAGGTATATGAAAAGACTGGAACCCAAGGAACGGTCAAGGCTGTGATACGAGCAGTTCCTGTTGCTGTTTTAAAACCTATGATTGGAGCTTCTGAGGCTGTATCGAAGACGTTGCTTGGATTACGAAATACAATTGATCCCAATAAGAAATTACAAATGGAAGATGTATGTATTATTTATTCATAAATATCCTTATTGATATTATGGGAATTTAAAGTTTAAAATAATTGAATATTTTTATTACAGAAATATAAGAAACGATAATTTAGATTTAAAAATCATAAAAGAATTTGAATTGGCTTGCCTTTTTAGATTATTATTTTTATATGAATTTGTTCGAGTATAATAATATACCTAATAAGAGATTTTCTTTTGATAGTAACGAACATTCACTCACTTTACACATTTACATATATATATATTATGTACATTTAAACTTTCATTTTTTTTTAATTATGTAATTTTATGTATTCAATACCTATTAATATTTCTTGATGTTTTTAGAAATATAAATAAATAATTTAAAAATACAGCTGATTGAGTTGATAATTAGTATTGGGTGATATAACGCGTCTCACTATAATAGATGTAACCAAAATATTAAAAGGAAGTTTCTAACAGGGGAGATTACACCTGAAAATTGGCAAGTCTATATAATTGACCTTGAATAGTAATACTTGAAAAAATAAATAAATACAAGAATCACTGCTCTAAGCTGATAGATCACTGCTTCGGATTAGTAGGTTAAAAATGTTGGACCTCGTAATTATAAGGATTGCTCCAATAAAAACTCAAATAGATGTCATACAAATATGTAAAACGTCACGCGTGCGGACTGCGGTCCTAGCATCGCCTGCAAAATGGTGATTGGATTTTTTTTTGGTTATTTCGCAGGTTGGGTGAGATAATATTCAAAGTAGAGGGCGCACACCTTGTATATTATAGGAAATTCATAAAATCGATCGATATCATGCATTCAAAGGATATCTTGATAACAACAAATGGTTAGTCATCGATCCTCATTTCAGAGTCAACGGATCTTTATCGAGAAACTGTAACTGGAAAATTCCATAAGCTACCAAAACAGGTTGGTAGACGCACCCACCATCCGTCTAAATTTTTCATCCCACTATACTTACTTTTTTTTTTATTGTTTAGGAGTTCCTGATGTGCCTTCTGGAGAACCACTTTTCACAGACATCCCTAGGTGACGTTGATGATGGTAACGGTGATATGGCTTGAACGATCTTGCCGTTATCCTATATAAAAAAAGCAAATTCATTTGAGAATCATTTCATGGTAAGAATAATCAGACAAAAATTAAACTAGATGGCGGATGCAGGAAAATTCCAGTAGTAAACTTTAGTTAAGGCAAAGATTGATATCGAGTACCGGTAAAGTTATAAGTTTCATTTAAGAGTAAAGAAGTTACATGGTCGATCCTCATTTCAGAGTCAACGGATCTTTATCGAGAAACTGTAACTGGAAAATTCCATAAGGCTTACCAAAACCACGCAACCCCACATCTGTCTAAAATTTCATCCCACTACACTTACTTTTTTTTATCGTTTAGGAGTTCCTGAGCAACACAACGAGTGTTGTTATGTGTCTTCTTTTTCTCTATCAATAACTTTTGAAACAAAAATGCTGGAGTGACCACTCTTTACAGGGAAAGAACTCGATAAAAAAAGATGTATTAGAAAATACGATATTAAAAAAAAAAAATTTTTTACAGCGTTATTCACAGGAACTTCTTATTTATAATACCAAAGAAACAAAACTTTTGATGCGATTGGTGTATTACTATATATTGATCGACAATGTGAAATTGTTCCATTTTTAGAGTAATAGTGTAGGGGAATTAACCCGATATAGTAACTACCCAGCATTAAATCGTCAAAAAAGCTCTCGGTCACAAGACTTCTGTGATTTAGATGTGTTTCAGCCAAAATTATAATAGCGGTTTCATTTTAGCCAAAAATTAAATACCAATTTAGCCAAAATTACGATTTCATTATGATTTCGTGCTTAAAGTTATTAACCAAATTTTATCTATTGCCCGTTAACTTTGTTAGAACTACACTTAATAAAATTATAGCTATTATTATTTATTGTTACAAAACATAATTAAATAGGAGTTAATAATGTAACTATATGGCGTATAATGCAAAAAAAAAAATTTATTATAAATATTAAATAATCATATACAATTTTTGATATATTAGTTATTCAGACCAATCCGCAGTTATGAATTTTATGAATTTGAATTTCACTAGTTCCTTTCGAGTTAACTTATAAATCTCGTCGTTATTTCCTACAATGACCGACATCGTCAGCATTATTGAAAGAGTCATTTCAGTGGGTCAGCAAATCGCTGAGCGACTAGAAGCGCATACAGAAGCCGCCGAGAGTCTCTTGAAGTTGGCGAACATTTTGGGAATGCTCAAAGATATGTTTGCCGACATTGATTATTCCCATGTTAATAAATCCTATATTGTTAGTATCAAAGACACCCTTGAACGAACCCAGAAGGTTTATATGAAGTGTGCCGAGGACCTTGACATAAAAGACAAAAAGTCTTTCTCTGGCAAGCTCAAGAAAGTCGCTGGAATATATAAAGCCCCCAGTATCCTAGCCGACATTCAAAAGTCCATTGTAGACGTTGAAAGACATCTTAACATCACAGATAAGGCTTTAAGTATTATGCAACATGTTCAGACTTTATCCACTCCAACGATCTTTTCAACAACTACTTCGACAACCACAACCACAACCACTTCTACTAACTTGCTAAGTTCGGAATTGAAAGAGGCCCTTGCCAATACAATTGATGAATTAGTGACAAGGCTTAAAAGCGACTGTCAACAGCTTCAAGAAAAGCTCGAACGTTGTACACTTTCCACTGATTCCTTTACTCTTGAAAACTTAGGAAGTGATAATCCCGAGGCGATTTCATTTTGGAAGGAACGTTTCAGGTCTGCCGAGCTCAGTATATCATCTGTTGCTCCATACGAGGTAAACAATTTTCACTAATTAGCTTTTTGAAAATTCAGACTCTTATGTGAAATATGTCGATCTTTGAATGTAGAATATGTACGTCTCATGGGCTCGGTTCGTTCACGAACTCGAGGTAACCTTTCAGCTAAAGAATATTCCAACCGCAATCATGAAGAATGGTACCATCGACGACTTTCGCCGGTATGGTAACAGATATTACATCAATTCAACTGGGACGCGCAATCTCAAAGACATTCGACCACTTTGGATTCCATCCTTGCGAAAAGCATTGGATCCTCTCCATAAAGGCTATATTAAACCACATGATTACTTGAGTTTCCTTGGAGATGATTCGTTGTCCAAAAAACTGAGGCAAGTCGTTCTCGATAGCTGTGGATACGGTATTTTTGTTGAATGCCAGCGAACAAGTGGTGATATCTCCCTTCCTTCTGAAATAGAGAGTCCTGCCCACAGCGTTGGTTGGATGTCCGCCTGTCAAATCGTCTCGGTGCCAACATCGACGGAACTTGGCATATTCATATACGAAAAGAACGCCCAGCAACGTTTTAACAACCTTATTGAAGACATCACTTATCCTAAAAATGACATCTGGGTGCATGTCCGCTACCTCCAAACCGGCCAAATCGAGAAAAAACTTATTTCAAAGAACGTACGAATAATTGGTGGGCTTCGTATCGGAACCTCAATTGCTATCTTGGAAACCTTGGAAAATGGTTTAAGTGCTTGGAGTGACAGCCATTTAATCGTGGAGCTTAAAGCTTGTTTTGGTGGACGATATATTGTGACCGCTGGATCAGGAGAAAATGTTCTTGTGTTTAAGACAAAGCCGCAAACCGGCTTTGATGATCGTGTGATACAGAATAATCAACTCGATAACTTTGCCGATATTCCAGAATTTGATTATTGTATTTTGGGGCCCTCGACGGTTTTTACTCAGGAACCTAAAGTTGGTGAGAAGATCCAGGTGAGCGATTTTGTTTAATGAATTTACGTGATATAAAATTCCTATTCAAATTGGGACTGGGAGTTTATTCTAAAATTGAAAGTCGATTGTCGAGTTTAAAAACTGATATTTAACATGATATTGGAATTGGAATTGATCACTTTGATTATTATCGTAATACAACACAAGTTCCTATGCCAAAAGATCAGGAATAAATAATCTCCTAATAAGGCAGTTTCGACAGTCGATTTTTATATTAGTTTCGATTTCCATCCCTAATTTAATCAATATCTTAGAGATATTATATTCATTTCTACATTATGACATATATATAGATCAATGTGGACGGGTTGTGGCATGATGTCAAAGTTACGGCGGTTAATGGTAAATTTGTAAAGCATGTTGGTTGGTCTCCGACTTCTGACCCAAAGAGCTCAACTGAAAAAGAAGGCGTTGAAAATGATGAAGATACTGAAAAATATGATGGTTATTATCTCACAGAAGACGAACTATATGCACAACAAAAAAATCCTGATAGATGTTGGTGTCCGTGGACGGATGGAGTATCGAGTTCGGATATCAGGCCTTATCGTTGCCTTCACGTTGGTGATCTTGTTGAAGCACCCGTCATATACCCAGACTATCTCTTCCGTTACCATGGCCTCGAAGAATCGCAGCTTTATCTCCCAGCTCGTATTATTGATGTTCAAGACGATCAGTATCTGGTCAAGTTCAGCCCTGCTGTTAGTGCTTACACTTGGTGGCCTGGTAATACTTCAAGTGACAACGAATTTCCACGCGAACCAGGTTCTAAGGAGACTGTTAAGAATCCATTTAATGGCGTACAAGTTACCATGAGTATGGATCGGGTTCGCCCTTACACCGCTGGACCACACCCTGTTTTGGGTACGCAGTCAATAAGGCCACATAGTTGGTCAACGTTTCAGGGCGTCCAATTCACAGACTTGCAACAAATCGATGAAAATATTCTGTGGAAATGATGTTAATATAGTATACGCTCTCATTGTAATGCAAATCGTCTGTGATATTCCTTTTTTTATTATTTATTTATTATAATTTTATTTGCTACACCCTTAATTTAAATAATAATATGTTTACATTTTTTTCCATTTTCATAATTAAACGTTAAATGGGATGAAGTAATGGGTATTGGGGAATATAGAAGAAAGCATGTGTGACTTTTTTTAACTTTGTAAATAAGTTAATTATGAATATTTTAAATTCAAAATTCAAAGTTCAAATAAAAATTGATTTCTAAAAAATGTAAAGTCTAGAACCGACATTAGGTGACGGACATATTTAGACCAGGGTAATATCGTGATATCGATCATGTCGATCATGTGATCTGATATCAGCCAATCATATTTGTAGAAATGTTGACCAATCAGAAAGATGGGGTAAATTAGTGAAATCCGCATGTTCAATTCTGATCGTTCGGATTTTTGATCGGGTTTTGAGTTGATAATTATTGGCAGGCGAAATTGTGTAACTCGATCCGCAATTCGATTTTTCCGAACAACAAAATGATCACATAACAAAAACAAATGGTTGATTGGTTTTTGTTGAAATTTTTTGCAATCAGAAATCCCCAACCCAATTCTGAGTTTGATCACATGTTTGGATTGGTTAACGGATTTTGCGACCAAAAAACCGAACGATCAGAAATGAACAGGCCTAGTTTAACATCATTCAACTCTTCGGGAAGCATGCCATTTTTGGCCATACCCACTGTTTTTATTCGTTAGTTCCGCTCGTGACACAAAAATTAATACGTCTATTACTGCGGAGATCACCAAAATTAAGAATGAAATTAATAATAAAATCGCGGATGGGTAGCTAGGTTTAGGTAATGGGAAGGAACTGCCATCTTATGTGTTACTTTACAAAAAATATAATAAATAGCTTTGTTTCGATTTTTAAAACTGTTTGTGTTTTACAAGTGATATGAAAAATAATAATACATTCGCAAATTTCGTCATGTGATTTGGGCGACTGGTAAAAAATTCTGTAGATATGGGTGGGGTAATTTATTTCGGAAACCTAGTATAGTAAAAGAGAATCTTGTAGTTAGCTATAGATATTTTTCGAAAATGTGAGAGAGCAAAGAAATACTTGATGCTGGGACTCGCATTAAATGGCCTAGGATCCGCGTAATCCCTCCCTCTTTGATAGCATCATATATTTCATTCACTTCTCCAGTTCTAAATCTAAAATTATTAATTAAGTTTCGCAGTTGCATCAAAAAATAAATCATTTTTATGCCATCGTGTCTAATCAGAACAATCTCTGATTTTGATTTTGCAATGATGAAATTTTTATATAAAAGTATAAGTTTGATAAAATGACACGTCGCGCGTCGCGTTTTATATACTTACTCATCAAATACTTAGTGAAAGTTTGTGTTACGAGATAAAAGTTTGATGAAAGTTTGTGTTATAAGATATAAATATTAGAATCTATTTGCTTTGCACTTTTATCCATTTCATTTTTTAATAGTAAAAAAAATTACTCTCATAATGATTGGAAGTTGGAAGGAAGCCGATAACAAATTAAAAGAAATTTTCTCTGACAAACAGATACGTGGCAAAATCAGAGGTGCCCTGTTAAACAAGTTGGAAGAAGAACGTCTTAATTACTTCGTAGGAGATAACGAAGAAATAGGATTTACACTTTCAATGCTCTTGCAAGGTAAACTTCTGCTTCAGGTTGAATTATTTTTGTAACGTTACTAACTTTGCCTCTTTTGGTCTCCTAACCAAATTTAGATGAACATCAAGGTAAGGCTTTGCGTCGTAATGTTTGGTCAACTCGAACGTGACGCGCTAACCTTTTTTGCACTGCTTTATAGATCCCAATACGAAACACACACGTGAAATTGGTAGGTCATAAAGATACATCCCTCTTCCCTCAGAGATTGTGTCCCTAACCATTTAATTTTAACATATATAGATGATGAATTGTATTTTTCAGTAACAAGTATGCTTAGTAAAAAACCAGATTTTTTAATATTCCGTGAGGATTTGTTGGATTACATTAAGCGACCATTCGCCAGTGCGATCGGTATTTTCCAAATGAACTATGAGCGGTATTTTCGGTCAGAACTTCCTCAAGGATTTTTGAACAATTTCTTCGTGAGCTCATGTAATGCTTCCATGAGACTATGGGATCAATGTATTGTTGATATTGTTCGTCCACCCGTAACCGGTACTACAGAAGATTCGTACCATGCGTTCTGGGACGCGCTCATTATTAAACCAATTCTCACTGGATGTCCGGAGGCAGTCTATAACCGAAACACCTCTAAAAATACATCGACGGGTTTATGTAGACCTGACACCTCGTGTTGGATATCAAGCGCCTGTCTCGTAAGAGGGGAGGAAAAAGGCCCAGAAACTTCCGAAGATCCAGCAAAGGAGCTAACCTCGAAAATGAAATGGACGTATGGTGATTGCCCTTATATCTTTGGATATTACGCACCAAAGTAACATATTGCTATTTGTATTCTGGAATAAATAAAACTGAGCGCAAAGATTTGATTACTTGCTCGCTGGATAAGATGAAAGGGCGTATACAGGCTTTCAACATAGGCAGGAACATTGGCCGACTATTACCATTACTCAGGCAACATATACCAGAATCATTTCAAGAAGAATTCGACGTACTCTACCGATCTAGATCGTGTAAAGTGATTCAATTAAAACATGATAGCGTCATAAAATATTACTCCACCCCGGATTTTGTTTTAAATATTGTGGAACTTTATAATGGAATGGCTGAACACGCAGTTCCATATATTGATTCCATTTTGCAATACAACGTGATTGAAGGAACCATTCCGTATATTGTTTTTACACCAAGGGGCGTACTATATAAACCACGAACGATTGATCAATTAATTAAAGCTATATACTGTGTTTTGACCGCAATAAAGGTATCTATCATCATCTATTTTCTTGTTATCCTGGAGATTTTATTAATAAAAATTATGCATTCTCAGTCTCTTCACAAAATGAAGATCATACACCGTGACCTCCGCTGGGAGAATGTAATGAAATATATCGATAGCGAAAAGTGGTTTATAATTGATTTTGACGACGCGTGTAGATTTCCTTCAAGTGTTCCAAATACGCAATTGGCTATGGAGAGTCATGCACCCGAGGTTTTCCAAAATAATCATGATGACAGTGTCGATGTTTGGTCTGTAGGGTATTTGATCCAGACAGCTTCAGTGAGACTTGAAAAATCCGACAAATTAAAAGATTACGCAGTAACTAAATTGATGGCGAACGACGAATTTGACAGACCGACATCTGGAGAAGCTCTCGAATGGCTCTGGGAAAATTATAAAGACGTTCTTAAAGATTATTTAGAACCAACTGAAAATATTTTCGAGATTTGATTTATTAGTTTTTTTTTTACGAGATTAACGATAGAATTATATGGCATAATTGCAACAAATTACTGCACCTATAAACTGTATTTTTATATGTATTATCTTAATATAAAAAAGTAAGCAATACGCATTAGAATAATTTCGTCTCGGTTACATGATTTTTTCGCTCGTAAGCATGTTCGCTTGTTGCATTGTATGGTCATCAATGTGCATCGAGCCATGTGTTTTGCATACGCTTTAGATCGGTCTAGAACACATTGCCACTCTTTATTCTCACTTACCTTTAGCGTCCCCATTAATTATCATAGGCCAGAATTTCCACCGGGAAATAAAAATGCGCAGTACGAAAAAATTCAAGAACTCACACATCGGAATTAACTAATGATTTCTTCCAGACGTGCCTTCTGACCATTTTTGGAAGTCTAGAGGATCTATCCAAGTTTCAAGATGAAACTGATTATGTAATTGCCGAAATCTTAAAGCAGAAAGTTCGATACTGTACTAGCTACGCTACATAAATATTCATTCATCTGCGCAATTTTGACAGAGAAAAAAATAATATTTGCATTTTATTCGTAATAATTTTCCCGAATTCCCGTTGTGCTTATCGAAATCTTATTAGCCGATCATCTCGTGATTTTGAGAAACAACCAGGAACTAGGGAGCTCACATGTGATACAAAAATAATTTAGATCGTCCAATCTACATGCATGTGAATAAATACCGGTATATACACATCGCCTTCGGCTAAATTCTCCTATCTCAAATAAAAATGAATTTGGATTTAGAGTATAATATTGCTAAATCAGCTAAAATCGATAAAAACACTAAAATTAATAAATCATTATATCTGTTATAATCTACCAAAACGCTTAGCCAAAGGCGCCGTGCATAAATATGGGATTTAGATGGTAGAGTGATCGGCGTGAGCAATTGTTCACGCACACGTGATTTTTTTATTTGGAGTGTTATCAAACATGTCATCCATGCTGACGGGCTGAATCATATAATTTATTATAAAGAATTCGGCCAGAAAGGCTATACATTATAAGTGTGGGATATAGATATATGATAAATAAAAAAAAGTGAAACCTAAATTCCCACTTGGATAAAATAAATCGCATCCTATATGAAAGGCATAATCGAATATGCAATCTGAACTTGATAAATAAATGAGCAGTAACGTTAGACATCAGTATTGTGGGAACAAGTAACAAGTAATTGCTTTATGTATTAACAAAAAAAGTTGATCTTTGTATATGGGTAGCATCAAGTTTTTTTATTATATAATTTTAAGCGGATCCGTTAATCAAATTTTCGTGATGTGATCATTTTAATGTAAAGGCATATTCCAAAAATCGATCCTGCAAATTATATAAAGGGTAATGTCCCGAGGGGATAAAAAATTTTAATAATGCATTAAGCAATAGCTTTCTTAAATATGAGACATTCTAAAAATTAATCGTAGCGGTAAATGTGAATCGGTAATGTCTTGTATTATTTTTTTGCCTCAGTTGCTAATCTCCCAATCTATACTATAGATTCAAATTATTCAATCCTGAGAAACTTCTGTGGAACTTAGTTACTGTATAGATGAAAGTGATTTATATTGACGAAAATATTTTTTTTATGTTTGTAGGAAAAGGTGTAGGAATGCGTAGCTAGCAAAAAAAAAATTAGCATAAGAAGCCTAAATAACTACTCGCGTTAAATGACTTAGGATCTGTGTACTACATTTCATTTGCTTTTCTGTTTGCTATATATGAAAAAAATCATCAATAAATTTTTACAACAGTAAATCGTGATCGGAAATTATCAAAGTGCTTATTTATTTAATTTTTAAAAAGAACTCAACAGAATAAAAGCTAAAAATAAACTGATTTTGGCAGTTGAGATAATAGGAGTATAATAAAATTTTTAATCAACCATCACTTTAGGGATTTTTAATACTTATCAAGCTGTCAATTTCTTAGAATAAGTTACCGTTTTATTAATCTTTTCGAACAGTACAAGTCTTTAGAGGAAAATGGCAAAAAAAATTACTCAATTAAGCTCTTCAGTTACCTTTTTTAAAAATATAATTTGTGATACAAAAAAAGTCATTGCATCAGCTGAAAAGTCCATTGACTTATTAGAGAATAAATGCCAGCATTTAGGGGATATTATTTCTGCTAAGAATAGGAAAATTATTGCTATTGTTGATCAGATCTCTTTTCACATAAGTATAGTGATATAACTATAGAACTGGAAATATATTCCAGCAATTATGAAAGGAAATTATAGCTGAGAAGACATAACAAGTCTGAATATGACCTAAAAACCTAAAAAAATATACATTTTGTCTCACTTTATCAATAGCTTTGAGGGAGAATTCTACTCATTAAAAAATGGCATATCCTATCCTTTTCGTATTCAATGAGGATATTTCAGGATACTGTCAAATCAAAATAATAAAGTTCTGATTACACAAATAATTATTGATATCCGCATATATACTAAGCTAGTCATTATATATAGACAAAGAATATAAGCTAGTTCACCTGAGGTAGACCCATTGAAGATTATAATATAATTTAAATTTTTTCTTATTAGTTTCAAACAGTCAAAAAAACTCTGCATTATATATATTGAGCTTATATTTTTATAATGTCTTTTACTAAAATAAGATTCAATTTTCTTCTAAACTTTTTTGAATCAATACACAAGTCTTCAAATATGATAACTGTTCCTCTTTCTAAAGAAAATAAATCTATCTTTGAAAATTTATTAAGCTTTATTGTCCAAAATGTAATACTTTCATGATATAGCTTTAGACTATTTGCAATTATCTAGTAGGTTGATTAAAGGTATAGATATTTCAGACTCGTTAAGATGATGGTTAATTAAAACAAATTCATTATTCAAAATATATCTAATTTTACTTATTTTCCTATTAAACATTCAATAAAGTTTATTTTCTAATAATAGGTTGACAATCATTGATTTTTTCTGAATTAGTATAACTACTAACTAATAATGTAAAGGCAATTGAGGAGTCAAATTCAATACATTAAACTTTTTTGCATCTTTAATCTTATTGATATGAAGAATAATTTTGTTTATTAAATCAAGCTTTCTGATTTTCATATTATTGAAACTAAGTATTATTAATATTATATTAAATGAAGTAAAATTTCTTAATGAAATTTTAGCGAACTTAATTCGCTTAAAATTATGTAAATTTTTAAAAATTGGATTTCACTTCACTTAAGAATCCTTTTTTGATTAACATATGTTTGATATAAGAAAAAAAATAGCAGTATATAAAACTTTGATAAGACATATATCTTGTTCCTTGCATATATTCCTCTTCTTCTGATTGTGTATCTTTTGTGATTTTAAATCTTCACTCTTTTAATAATAAAAACTATTGTGATAATAATTTTAAAGATTCTGATATTTAAATACAAAATATAATTTTTCGTTATACTTATCAAGATGCATCTTATCTAAAAATTTAGGCTTATATGATAAAAATTTTTTCTTAATAGATCCTTGAAAATGTATCATACAGTTCTTTCAGTAGTATAATAATATAGTGAATACTATTTAAATTTTTTAATAATATACTTTAATGGATATTTCTATTGATATACATTATTTTCACAAAATCAAAGATAGTATCATATTTATATATTTAGTCAATTTTTTTAAAATAATCATCATCACATTTTCTGGCATAATCTATAGCTTGATTTAACTTACTATTAGAAAAAGTATAAACAAAATATAAAGATAATATGAATACAACCTTTTTAGATCAGTTATTAATATGAGTTCTTCTTGCATAAATCTCCACTTTGGTAAAAACTTATCACCTTTGAGATAATATAAAACTTATTTATTTTTTATAATAATAACTTTTCAAAATTTATGAAGACTTGAATTAAAGATAGAATCAATTGCCTGTTTCTAATTTTTCATACCTTTTTTTTATTTTGCATTTACAAATAAGTAGTGAATAATATCATCTTTCTTTAAAATTTCTTTGTTTTTTTTAATAGGATACTTAGATTTTATAAATGGTTTAGACTCAACCTTCTCTAATAAAATGACTACTGAAGAAGCTAATCTCCATTTTAAAGAATCTAATTTTCTAATAAGATATGTAAAATAGTTATTCAGATAATCAATAGCTTTTGATAAATATCTAATCTATACTTTTATTAATCTTGAATTAAAGATATAAACTTAACAGCATACTGGATCTTATATAGAACTTTTTAGAATATCTAATTAAAATGTTTTTTAATTGCAATTTCACAATGACTATATAGGCTAATTACTTAAATTATTATATTATACTCTTACATTAAACAGGAAGTCTCTTCTACCTATTCTCTTTCATTATTACATCATAGAAGCTTTAGCTATGTCAATAGATTATTTCAATTTTTATATATTTACCTAAATGTTTTAACAACTTCATAAGTACTCTTTGATCTGAGTAGAACTAAAGCTTTAAATTTTGAGATGCAATCTACTATATTAAGTATTATTTTATAAGTTTTATTTCTATAATAGTTATAAGTTAAGAATAATATATCACATTGATGAACACAATTTGGTCATATTATTTACCCATAGCTGAATCTTAAAATATGTTTAAAGGTATACTTATAAATCTAATATGATTCTTGTTGATTTAATCATTTTTTTACAACTTAAAAATTGAATTAGTACCCTTTTTTTATATATATTTCTTAAGGATTTAGATAAGAAAAATATCCAGTAGGTCAATAATATATTTCTTATAAAATAAGATTTTGTTTTATACTATGAGTCTTATCAGAATCTATCAAAATTTGCGGTTAACTCATTCTTAAAGTAAGATTATTATAATAGCATTATAAATTAGGATAAAATACCATGTTTGATCTAATATATTTATAGCTTTTAGATACAAATTAGAAGCTTTATAATGAGTTTCAAGATGAAATTTCTATTAATAAAAATAACAAAAAAAAATTTACTTTCTTATAAAGAAGCTTAAATAATGTTATTAAACTATCTTAATATAAAATAATACTATTATAATTCATAAGAAAAACTTGAATCAAAAATATCTAATTTGCGAAATTAGCTTAGGATTTTACAACAGAATAAAAATTCAAAGATGAGATTAGATTTGTTCAAGATAGCCAAATTATAGAGCTTAAAATAAGGTTGAGCATCTTAAAGCAAGCATTCAGATTCTCATAAATAAAAAAAATCTCAATAAATGTTTTAAATATAATAATGACTACATCAGTAAGTTTTGGATAGGCGTTTGATGACATTGATCAATGCCATGCATTAAAAAACGCCAAAAAACGTTGAGAAACAGACCCAATATCAACCAATGCATTTAAAAACGTATATATCAACATTATTTTATATGTAAATTAATGTATAGTCAATCAACGCTAGTTGAAAAATACGCAAATTATTGTTTGTTAATGCATTTATCAACACTAAAATACATTATAGCAACAGTGCTTCAAATAGTAGTTTTTTTACTAATAGTTTATTAATAGTGTAATATTTTCGCAATCTGATGTAATTGATTCATTGAATTATCATAAAAAATATTATTTAAACGTTAATATCGAGAATTTTGATGTTGTTTAGATTTAATATGTTCAGTAATCTACTTTTATAATCTGTCATATTTTCTAGAATAATTATGAAATGAGAAATTAATGTTCTTTTGTATCATGTTAAAATAATGATTTACAAACCATCTTGAAAAAATCAATTGGCCATTACAAGATCATCATCGTCAGAATTTTCTGGCTGTCCATCTTTATTAGTCATCAATACATCATCTACTACATCATCTATATCACCATCCTCTTCAATATATTGATTCAGAGGAGAATAAAATGCTTCTTCATCAGCGTTGTCAACCTAAGTAAAAATAAAGTATTTTAATGACATGACAAAGAAACGAATAAGTCTAGATATAATAATTATAGTATGTTCTTTATTAACCAATGTTTTGATCCATAAATCAAGAACTTCTGTATCAATTTTCGTCGAAAGGTATTTTTCATCAAATATCGTCTCTAATACAGACTGTACCCAAATGCCGTTTTTTACTGTACGTTCGTTTTCTGATGAAAAAACCAATTTAATTATTAATATAATATAGGTGTCTGAATCTGGATCATTCAGATCACTCAGAGTATACAGATCTTTGTAGACTTTTTATACGTTCTCGAGTTCCTTCCATTCCTTTATCTGTGATTTAGTGTAGTTATCTTCAAACGGTTTTATCCTATTGATTCCAAATGTACTCCACAGTGCTTCCTTAATACGTCACACATAATAACCTTTCTTTGATCGATTTGAGGTAAGTAACTAAACATTTTGATAGTATACGCCATTAACTTATTAAATAATACACATCATATTTGTTAATTGATGAATAATAATAATAAATTAAAATATTAACAGAAGAATAAATTTTTTCTTCCCAGAGTTTATTGAATGTAATGCCTTTTTCTTCTAGCTTTATAAGTTGGCTACTACAATAATCATCACTTTCCAGAAAAGATTTAAATCGAATTTTGAGTTCTTTATCTGTAATCTGTTGATTATGTTCGTAGAACAACTTGGTCGAAAATTGTTTAATGACATCCTACCATAATATAAATAAATATAAATAAAGAACGTAGAAATAAAAGAATTAATAAGAAATATATAGTTACGTGGTAAAAAGGTTTCAACTTGTCAATTTTCTTTTTTCCTTTTCCTTTACTAAATTTGCTATCTTCTTCAGTTTCAATATCTCCAAATTTTTTC